CCCCCCCCCCCCCCTCTGTTTCTACCTGTTGTGGCGGGGCCAGCACCGGGTTGGTGGGCGGAGGTTCGGAGTGGTTGTCCGCCTGAGGGTCTCTGTTTCCGGCCAGGGCCCCGGACAGGAGCCGCTTGTCCCCGGCGGCCCCCTCCATGACGTCCCCCCCCACCCCGCCGCCGCCCGCCGCGGGCTGGAGCGCGTCCCCGTGCCCGTGTCCGTGGAGAGCGGGGGCCGGCGGGGCCCTGTCCCGGCTCACCGCGGCCTGGACCGGCTCCTGGACCCCGTCCGACCCGGGCCCCGGTACCGCTCTGTCCCGGTTCATCACCTCAGTCCCTACTTCCCATGGGCTGCTTTTTTTTTTGTTTTGTTTAAAAAAAAATCCGGATCAAAAACGAAGGAACAAGGAAAAAAGAAAAAAGAAAAGATAAGAAAGACAAAAAAATATTAGATTGTTCTATTTAAAAAAAGAAAAACGCTCTCCTGGTTCAGTACTTTAGTCCCTACTTTCCATGGGCTGTTTTTTAAAGAAAAAAATCCGGATTTAAAACGAAGGAACAGGGGGAAAAAAAGAAAAGATAAGGACAAAAAAAAAGAGCAAATTGTTCTATTTAAATAAAAATCGCTGGTCTGTGTTGATGTCGGGAGAATGGTGGCACCACACACCGGTTCAGGAGTCCCGAGAACTTCCACGCGGAGCCGAGCTCATTCGGTGCGCGTGTCCACGAGCGGGTGCGCGGAACTTCACACTTCTGTCTGCCTGCTCCTCTGCGGCTGCTCCTGCTTCATCCTCCTCCTCCTCCTCCTCTTCCTCCTCTTCCTCCTCCTGCCGCCGGGGCAACAACTTCTCCCGCGCGTCCTGCCGATCCACCGCCGGTGTGCCGCGTCTTTACGCACACACACACACACACACACACACCCACACACACACTTACACACGCACACCCGACCTCCTGCTGCTGCCCGGGCTGCGTTCTGTCTGCTGACCGCGGTGCGCGCGCGCTCTGGAAGCCCGACAGGAGTAGAAGACGAGGACGCACGCCGATCTATCCCCTTTAATAATAGTTCAAACCGGCTCGCGCCATCTCTCTCTGTCTCTCTCTCTCTCCCTCTCTCTCTCTCTCTCTCTCTCTCTCTCTGGGCTCAGATCGCCTTCTTTGGCTCTCAGCCGCCACGCGCACAAGTCTCCACGTGAGCTCGCGCGCGCGCGCGCATCGGCCTCCCCCCTCCTTATTTATGCGTCCCTATTCAATTCCGCGGCCTGTAATTGGCTACAAATTAATCCCACTTGCACTAATAGGCTATTATCTCGGCGGGGCGCGCGTGGGCGGGTGCAGCCCGGGCCTGTTCCCCGTCGGAGCGCGAGGCAATCTGAGACCGGGGCAGCGCGCGCGCCGGCTCCGGTTTGGATGGTTTTGGGTTTGTTTCCCTTCAGATGAAGGGTCCTTTCGGCCTTTTTTTATTTCTTTTTTTAAAACTTGCAGGTGGGATAAGTTGGCGTGGCGCGCGCAGGGCGTTTGCTTCCTCTCCTATAACTTCTGAACTTTGTTATTTGAGAGTTTGAGAGTTAGTGGGGTGCGTGGCCCCGCTTCCACGCGCGCGTCCGCGCGAATGGGCCCCCCCCCCCCCTTCTTATCTTAAATGCAGATTCCAGGGCCGGGCCGCGGCTCCAAACTCAATTACGGCCTGAATAAAGACGGTAATGTCCCCGCTGCAGTGAAATATTGATTCCTAATCCTTCGCAGTCATTACTATGCCAGAAAATAATAGACCACAGAATTGGATTTTGATTTAACACACGACGTGTTTATTCTAATGCTCGGGACTTAATATTCCGTTGACTCTCAGAGAGGAGAAGGGGATAGTGATGGTGGCTCCGCCGCCTCACTTTTATTTTGTTGAGGAAGACATTAAAAGGGAAAGAAAGAGAGAGGTGATGGGACATCTTCCCTGTCCTCCTCCCCTGCTTTAATACACAAGGTCAGCTCCATGTAATTGCCTTGCTCAATGATCCATAGGAGGAAGAAATTAAAAGTTGAGCAAAATAATGGCTGAAACAATGAGACATGATTAGCCAATCAGAGAGCCCCGGCCTATTTGATCTATTTCCTGCTCCCCCCTCCAGTTTTTATGGCTTCATTTAAAAATCTTCCATATATTAACCGTATTAAACATCCCAGAGAGGGAAATATTAGGATTTCCAGCGGGAGAAAAAACTATAAAGCATCATCTTTACATATTTTGCAGGAACAGGAAATATGTGGCAGGGACTGTGAGCAGAGTGTGTTCAGTCCTGTTTTTATTCTTTTAAAATTTGCAGATGAAGATGGAGAAGGAATCCTCTGCTGGATTCCAGTGAAATCAAATAAATCTGAGGTTTGCCGTTCCAAATGAGAGCCATATAATGTCTGGGTTTGAGAGCCGGTGGGTGCGTAAACATCCGTCTAACCCCATTTCACACCACATCTGGGCCAGAGAAATTAAATAAGGACCTTTGTTTGCTTTTGGTCTTTGACCTCTGTGAATTTAATCCAACGTTTTGAGCCGTGCACACCTCAGTTTAACGTATACAAACTGTAACCAACAGCGATTAGAATCCTAAATCAAACATAGTAAATCAGTTATGGAAATGGATGCAAATATATAAGAGATGGATCAAATGTTTAATGGAAGATTTACAGCACATTTTCAGGTTCATGAACATGCTGTTTAAAAGCACAAGCACTGAACTGATAGGGAACACAAAGTTGGAATATCCTAAATAATCTAATCTCTGATTATATTATTATGGTTGTCATTTGATCATATGGATAGATTTTAGTCTGAATAAGCATCCCACCCATAACCTCACACCCACACACACTGTGGGAAACCCTCCAAAATCCCTCCTCTTCACCAGTCAGGGCAGATGTGTGACAGCGTGTGTGTGTCCTGTGTGTGTAATTATTCTAATGAAGGTTAACGAGCTCTGCTCAGCCTCCTCTTTATTAAATTAATCTCAGCGAGTAATGGATCATAATTACTATAATTAGCAGTTTGAGCTGCCCGGTCCCGCACCGGGCGGCCGTCAGCGGGAGGTGATGACAGACCCACAACCTTCATCCGCTCATCCCTGCCCCGGGCTTTATGCTCCCAGCATAAAAGCACCACAACGCCCAACATTTAAGGAGTCTGCCTCCGATATTATACCATTTTTCATTTTTATTGTACAGTTTTCTTTTAATTTATTCAGACTATTAGAATATAAGAAGATAAAATAAAAATAAAAACACCATTCTGGAAATGACTCTAGGTAATGCATTCTATTTGTCAAACACATTTAAGTGTTAACAACTTGTTTTTTATTTAATAATAATTATGAGCATTTAAATAAATGGCAATTATTTCAGAGCAAACTGAAAAATCTGCAGATTCAATTTAATTACTCATCAGAGCAAATTGATTTTGTTTACACACAGTGGTGCCAACACACACACACACACTCTCACACACACACACACACACACTCTCACACACACACACACACACACACAGATCATTTCTGGCAGAGGGGTGGCAGCAGACGGCTGGTGCCGGCGGACTGGTTCAGGCCGAAAGTTTCTATCACAATCTAAACGCTGTTTGTGAGGCCTGTCACAGCCAGACAGGCGTGACCAGAAGCAGGGCTACCAAAAACCCGATGCTTAAATATTAGGAGAGTATCGAACACTGATACAAAATGTCTGGATTCAACAAAACTGACGTTTGCCCCAATCCTCCATCTCTCACTCCATCCTCTCCTCTTTCATTTTTTCACCCTGGCTACTTGCTCGATTCCTCTTTTTTTTTCTCTATCTTGTGTCATTCTGAGGGTCTGTATTTTAGATTAGCCCTCCTCCTCTTTCCCATTACAGGAGTAATGCTCCCGCTGACACACACACACACATCAAGTCCCCCAGCCCAACACACACATCCCCACAGTTAGACACTCAGATAGCATCTGACCTGAAGAATTAATTAAATATGATAGCTGATTAAAAATAGCATAACTGATAGTGTAATATCTCAAGCTGTCGTCTTTAATAGTCAACATTGTGTGTGTGTGTCTTATCTGCTGCAGACAGGCGCTCTGGCTATTGATTCCTGTTCATTTCAGTTGTCAGGCAGACCACTCATCTCACGTGGAATCATTAAACTCCGTCTCCACCCATGTCTCTGCCTCTCTCTCTCACCTGATTTCCTTACAGTTATTCATTTATATTCTATTAATTTCCATTCCGGCACTGTTTTTTGTGCCGACAGGACCGAGGCAGTGTAGCGGCCCTTAGCCGGGGCAACGTTACCATGACCGAAAGGGGGGGGGGATATGCTAAAGCTGAGCCTGCTCCTCTGGGCCTTAGACACCGTTGTAAGGTTGAAACAACGCATACAAAAGCTGCAGTCTGGCACTCAGAGGCGTGAAGTGCGCCGCGTTTATTGGAAACCTACCAGAACATCATGTGCGAATTGAACGACAATCGCAGGCTGAAGTACGTTTGGTCTTGTTTGGTTTTTCTTACCATTAACAAATCCCGAGAAAAGTTCAGTGTCTTTTCAAAATAATGCTAAAACTATATGTTTCCTGATGATCATTTGCGGGGCGGAACGGGGGTGTGGTGGTCAGCACTGTCGCCTCACAGCAGAAGGTCCTGGGTTCGAGTCCCGGGGGAACCAGGACCTTTCTGTGTGGAGTTTACATGTTCTCCCTGTGTCTGCGTAGGTTCTCTCCAGGTTCTCCGTCCAAAAACCTGCATGTTAGGTTGATTGGACATTCCAAATTGCCCTTAGAAGTGAATGTGTGTGTGTTTGTTTGTCCTTGTATGTCTTGTGTGTGGCCCTGCGATGGACTGGTGGACCGTCCAGGGTGTACCCCGCCTCTCGCCCATTGACCACTGGGATAGGCTCCATTTCTCCCCGTGACTCCATTAGGGAATAAGCGGTAACGATAATGGATGGATGGATGGATGATCATTTGTGGTACAGTCGACGTCGGCCGGTGGTTGTACCCCAGATTACACATCGAGGTGCCTTTGTGAGAGACCCCAGACCCCAGTTGCCTGCGATGCAGCCTCAACGGGGGCAGATTTTATGTCTCAAAATGCTGGGAAAATGTGAGAGTTGTCTCAGAAAGGGCTCATCCAGAGTAAAAACCTTTGGCAAGAAGTAGCTGTGCAAGCCATGAGGGTGTCATGTTAATGATCTTCACCCTTTCACTCTCAGTTTTGCACCATTCAAGAAAGGAAATTCTGTTGCAACGGACTTCATTCCTTGTTATTCTAATTCTATAACCATTCTGTAGGCAAAGAT